GATATTGATGTATCACCACAATATAATTTTGCACCAATATTAAAAAGAGTATCACATTAACATCATCATTAATTTTAACAATCGATGACAAAAACAAAATTAAAATGTAACAGTAGATATGATTTAAGAAAAATAATAACTGAGTCACCAAAATTAAAATTAAATAATAGACGGGTGACCAAATAAGTAATTTACGTCGTAAGTTACAACGCTCGACAAAAGGTAGAGCACGAGAAATAATGAAAAGCGTGGCCGCGAGGTGGAGAATGACCGCCCAATTAATGACCCAATTTATTTCACCACAATTATCCTGTCTTGGAGCAAATTTAGTGATTTCCCCATTTTACGATTTCCAAGAAAAAGTAGATTATAATTTTTTTTAAATAAAATATTATAATAGTTTATATGTACCAAAGTAAAAATAAATAAATGAACGTAAATGAATATATAATATTACTAAGGGATGCCCGAGTCAAGTCAAATTTTTAAATTTAAGAATTGTTTGATTTTCTCTCGCTTGAATTGGTATTAATCGAAATAAAAAAATACGAGTAAATTGTTAAATCATTTTATTATTCTAACACAATTTGAATTGATATTGATAGTTTAAATTATGAGTATTTAAATGAAGATTGTATGTGCGAAAAATTAAGTACGAGTGTAAATATAAAATTTTGATTTTAGATTAAATTCGAAGGATCTATTCATTTTATTTGTATTCAAATAAGATTGCGACTCTTTAAAAAAGATTAGGACGAGTTTGTTAATTTACCCTTTTTTCCCCTACTATCCATATTATTAGGTAAGAGTTATATAATCATGTGATCGTACAATTATCTGATAGGATTAAGATTAAGTTTAGTATTTATAAAGAAATATATGAAGATCGCACTTTCTTAATAATTAAATTAATAAATGTAGTTGAAATATTAATTAGAGAATGTATAAAGATAAATAGTTTGGCCCTTTGGTATTTAATTTGTCCAGATTAATTTAATGAAAAGGGATCGAAGTTACAAAGAATACAGTAGAATAGTCAAATGGTAATTAATTAGACAAATATTTGAATACTTTAGGTGATTATTATGTAGTATTTATTTGATAGATTTTTAATTATTTAATAATAATCGTTCAATCAACCTTATAAATAACATGTTCAAATTCAAAATCTCTAAAATTAACAATTATTCTTTTAATCACTAAAATTATTTGATTTGTATATTAATTTTAACAAGTAATTTTCATTCCGTGACCAAAGTACCATTAATAACAATGTAGTAACAATAAAGTTTGGCTGCCTATACGGATGAAAACAATATATTTATGATGACCGTCTACCCCCACAGCGATAACTAATGAAAGCTGAAAAGTAAATTATCGAACAACCCAACATTGTACATCTATCATACAAGCTTGAATCTCATGGGAATTGCCACCTTCTATAAATGTATACACCAAATAAATATGACAACCCAATTCCAGTGAGCCTCAACTCAAGCAATATTTGCAGTTGTTTCATAGATATATTAGCATTCAGAGTTATAATCATCATGGTGAAAGACTTGAATGTAGAAGAAAATGATGAGTATTCAGAGCCGGTGAGTCCCACCGGACAGTATTTCAACAGCTCAGTGCTCTCCATTTGCGTTCTTGCCGTTTTGGACTCCGATATCCCTATCGATGATTCCCCGACCTTGTCTTTGCTTCGAGATGTCTTCCTTCCGATCAATCCTCGCTTCTCCTCCGTCATGGTATACACTATATTCTTAAGCTTATTCATTGTGCTCTTTCAATGGTGCTAATTTAACATGGGAAACTACAGGTTAATGACGAGAATGGTGTAAAGAAGTGGAAGAAGGTTGAAGTAAAGCTGGAAGATCATGTAAATATCCCTGTTTTTCCACCTGGATTATCTCCTGGATCATACGACACTCATCTAAGAGACTATCTGTCGAAGATTGCAATGGAACAACTCCCACATAACCGGCCACTGTGGAACATTCATATCATCAAGTACCCGACCAGCAACGCAGCTGGTAATCTGATATTCAAGCTCCATCATTCACTGGGTGACGGGTATTCTCTCATGGGAGCTCTTCTTTCTTGTCTACAAAGGGCTGAGAATCCCACGGTTCCATTGACATTTCCATCGCTTACTTCTGCCCCAACCACAAAACTTTCTCTCGAAAACAACAGCTTTTTCAAAAACATTCCCAATGTTTTATGGTCAGCTTTCAACACCGTATCAGATTTTGGGTGGAGCCTGTTGAAAAGCACGTACGTTGAAGATGATAAAAGCATGATAAGATCTGGGGGTTACCGGGGTAGAGTTCAAGCCTGTTCTTGTCTCAACAATGTCATTTTCTCTTCATCACATCAAACAAATCAAGACCAAGCTTGGAGTGGTATGTTTTTTCATCTCACATGCACATTAAATAACTCATTAATTGTTTTAATTCAATCTGTCCAACTATTGTCTATTGAATTGAAATGACCAATATTGAGATATATATGGAATATATTATTATATTACAATGCATTTAAGAACCTGCAGTTTTCCACCAACTTTTTTCTTGGGAAAATCAAAATGATATCTTTATCTTTATGTTTTCGTTGTTTATGTTTATTCATCCACGTCCTTTCGTTCACACAAAGGTAGTGCCGGGATTTATGCCTTAAAACCAGTTTTCTGTTCTTAATCTTACTCTTTTTGGTTTTTGGGCTCATTAACAGACAATAAATGATGTAATAACGGGGATAATATTCTTGGGGACTCGATTATACATGCAAGGAACTGTTGGAGGAAGCAATAAGATGAACAATGAACATACGACAGCACTTGTGCTGCTCAATACTAGGACCATCGGAGGGTACAAATCGGTGAAGGAGATGGTCAAACCCGACGCAGAGTCGGCATGGGGAAACCAGTTCGGGTTCTTACATGTTTCATTGCCTGAATTAAGCAGTGCCGAATCTTGCCATCCGCTTGATTTTGTTTGGAAAACAAAGAAACTCATCCAGAGAAAGCGAAACTCCAGTGCTGTTTTTCTTACTGGTCAGCTTCTGGAGTGTTTGAGGAAATATACAGGCCCTGAGGTATGTAATACTTCTTTCCACATTACTAGAAAATATGACTACTACAAAATAAAAATGCTGGTATTGATTTGCAAATAATAATAAAAATGTGTACATATTATTGTCTTAGAAATAATTTCGTTTAGATTGATCTAATTTTAAAAGTAGATGTTTTTCTCAAGATTAACACCTTTTCGAATTTCGTAAGAAATAAATATGTAAAATCTGCGAAGAATTCCCGAGAAAAAAAAAAGAAACGAACCATCCAATTGTATTTCACTTGGAAAGAAGACATATATTTTCTATATAAACGATAAAAGGTTAAAATTATCAACGGACAACTACTCAGTACAATCACTTCTAAATATAATTAACAAACTCACCTTGCCTAAGATACCAACTGTTTGCATTACTTACAATTATCATATCCCAACTATGGAAATTTACAGTTGCATGTGTGACAGGCAACGGCAAAATACATCCACAGCACATTAAAGAACTCAAGCATGACGATCTCGAATGTGATCGGACCGGTGGAGCAAATGGCATTGGCCGATCATCCGGTGAAAGGCTTGTACTTTATGGTGGTCGGCGTGCCTCAGGTTTGTTTAGAAAATTTTGCTGAAAATGAATGATATGGAAATATATTTGGTTTTGAAGGATGATTGTGAACTTTGCAGAGTCTAACCATAACAATGATGAGTTACATGGGAAAACTGAGGGTTGCAGTAGGAACCGAGAAAGGCTACATAGATCCCACCAAGTTCAAGTCGTCTATCGAGACTGCCTTTGGGATGATACTCAACGCTTCCCAGGAAATTGCTTAATTACTTAAATCTGAAATCCAGCTCAATTAAACGTATATTATTACTTTATTTAATTTTATTATGCTTTAGCTTTAAAACTAATTCTTAATCAAGGAAGGTAGACTGAAAGAGAATACCACAATTAAACAGTACATTTTAGAAGCATCCATTCACTCACGAAGCACCAAGTCATCTTAATATGGAGGTTTGTTAGTAAATGAGACCTTTTAACTTAATAAATTATATTCATGAATATTTCAAGTTTAATTCAGAGAAGATGAAGTGTCTAGAGTTGATAGGAGTAGTTGAAATGCCAAAAGGTTGTGACTATTCATTGTATCACAATTATTATAAGGTATCCCTCACTCCTATATAAAGAACTCTTGTACTCATCAAATAAATATACAAAAACATCAATCAAAGTCAGAATTCTCTATACTTCTACTTCTTTTCCTCTACTTTTCTCTATATTTTCCCTACTTTGCTCCAACAATTGGTATCAAGAGTCATATGGTCTTAAGAGCCTAGAAATCACAAATAAACTCAAAGGGAATAGAAGTAAGGAAGAAGAAGAATTTGAACAGTTGAAGTATGACTTCAACGTCAACCTCTTCCATATCAACTTCTATGCCATCACATCCTATCTTCACGGGGGATAACTATGATTATTGGTGCATTAAAATGAAGCTTTTTCTTAAAGTAAGTGAATTATGGGAGATCGTGGAGACTTGTTACGAAGAGAAAAACAAAGATGTGCAGTACACTGATGTAGAATTGAAAAAGTTCAGCGGTAATGAGATGAAGGATGCAAGAGCCTTATCTTATATCATCAATTGTGTCTTAGATACAATTTTCCCCAAAATCATGAATCTCTTCCGCAAAAGAAACGTGGAGACTTCTCCAGGAGGAGTTCCATGGTGATGAAAAATTCAGAAATATTCAACTCAACACTTTGATGAGTCAATATGATAACATGAAGATGAAGGAAAATGAGGATATCAAAGGTTACACTTCTAGATTCATGGAAGTTGTAACCGAATGAAGATATATGGGGAGGATATCTTACATTCAAAAATAGTGCAAAAGATCTTAGGATCTCTGGATAGAAAGTTCAATACGATGTCCACCATCATCGTTGAATCAAAAGATGTAACAACGTTCAGTGTGACGGAGTTAATGGGTTCTTTACTTGCCCATGAGCACAAATTCAGTAAGAATGAAGAAAACAGATCTTCTGAAACTGTTTTTCCTTCAAAGCAACAACAGAAATCCTCAAACAATAAGGGGAACAATCAAAAGAATCAAGGTGGTTCAAGAACAAGGAAGGAGCAACCATAATCAAAAGACAAGTATCTTGCTTGTGGCATATGTAATAAAACGAATCACCTAGAAAAAAAATGTTATCACAAGGGGAAGTCAAAATGCAATTACTGCAATAAATTTGGCCATTTGGAGAAAGATCACATGCACAAACAAAAGGCATAACAATCACATACTCATTTCCAATGAAGCAGAAGACTCCTTGTTTTATGCACGACAAGCTTTCACCTCTAGTGGAAGCAAAGATAAATGGTTGGTTGACAGTGGGTGCACTTCTCACATGAAAAATGATTCAAGCACATTCAACAAGCTTGACTCTTCAATCAAATTTCCAGTTCGCATGGGGAACAGAGTTGTGGTAAAGTCCACTGGAAAAGGCACGATTGTTGTACAAACAAAGAAATGTACAAAATACATTAATGATGTTCTCCTTGTTCTAGATTTGAGTGAGAGTTTACAAAAGCTTTGTAAATGTACTATAATGGGCCTAGAGAAAAAAGAGATTTCAAATTTCCCTATGGAAAACAAAAGCTTTGCTTTGAAATGGGATTCTGCAGCAGAAGGAACACATGTAACTCACTCGAATGATACATGGCTATGGAACAGGAGGTATGGACATTTCAATATGCATGCTCTTTGTGAACTTCAAAAGAAAAATATGGTGAGAGACTTTCCTTCAATTTCCTTAAGCAATGATCAATGTGAGCCTTGTAAACTTGGAAAGCAACATAGGTTACCTTTCCCGAAGGAGAAAGTTCGGAGAGCATAAAAAAATTGAAACTAGTTTATACAGATGTTTATGGACCTCACAGAACTTTGTCTTTTGGTGGAAACAAGTATTTCATCCTCTTCATCGATGATTCCACTCGTATGACATGGGTGTATTTCATGAAAGAAAAGTCAAAAGTTTTCAATGTCTTCAAAAAATTCAAAGCACTCGTAGAAGCCCGAAGTGGGTGTAAACTGCAGAAACTCAGATCAGATCGAGGCAAAGAGTATACTTCTACAGAATTTGATGTTTTCTATGAAGATTAAGAAATTGAGCATCAGCTTACAGTGGGTTTTACACCTCAGCAAAATGGAGTTTCTGAACAGAAAAACAGAACCATTATGGAGATAGCTCGATGCATGCTAATGGAGAAGAATTTACCAAAGAAATTTAGGACGGAAGCTGTGAGAACAACATTATATATGCTGAATAGATTGCTCACAAAGGCGACTCAAGATAAAACTACGATTAAAGCATGGTTTGGAGGAAAACCATCAGTGAAACACTTGAGAGTATTTGGCTCAATTTGCTATGCTCATATTCCAGCTCAAAAGAAAAACAAACTAGATGCAAAGACTGAAAGAGAAATATTTCTTGTCTATGATTCTCAAGCCAAAGGCTATCGAATTTTCAATCTTGACACTGAGAAGATCATGATCAGTAGAGATGTGGAGTTTAATAAAGATGTAAACTAGAATCAAGATGAAGAGAATGTTGAAAAAAATGAACTAAGTGCTAGTTTTTAATCCCAACGATGTAGTGAGTGACGAACCTAGAAATGAGAATAATGAAAAAGATAACAATGACAATCACACACCACTTTCCTCTCCTATTCAACTTAATGATGATAGTGGTGAGTCTAGTGATAGTAAAAATGCTACAGGTCCTTAAGGTAAAAATTCACTCCCAGACTTGTATAAAGAATGCTCTGTCATTCAATTAAAATATGAGGAATGTGAAAAATGCTACCTTGGATTTGAAGAGCCCCAAACATATAAGCAGGCTTCTGAAGACAAAAGGTGACAGTAAGCAATGGAAAATAAAATGAGCATGATCAAGAGAAATCAAACTTGGGAGTTGGTTAAAACTATCGCAAAGTGATATGCGTGAAATGGGTCTACAAGATCAAATTGAATCCTTATGGCTCTATAAGCAAGTACAAGGCTAGACTAGTCATCAAATGATACTCCCAGGAGGCAGGAATTGACTATGGAGATACATTTTCTCCTGTTGCAAGACTTGACACAGTGAAAACTTTGATTGCTTTAGCAACACAAGAGCAATGGAAGATTTATCAACTTGATGTTAAGTCAGCCTTCCTCAATGGCGAACTCGATGAGGAAATTTTTATTGAGCAACCTCTCGAATTTATTATCTAAGGAAAAGAAGAAAAAGTGTGCAAGCTGAAAAAGGCTCTTTACGGCCTAAAACAAGCGCTACGAGCGTGGTATAGGAAAATTGACTCTTATCTCACTGAAAAGGGGTTTGAGAGAAGAAAAATGAGCACACTCTTTATGTGAAAAAACAAGGCAAGAATGATTTGCTCATTGTTTCACTTTATGTTGACGATCTTCTTGTCACATGAAACAGCTCAAAAATGGTCCTCTCGTTCAAGGAAAAGATGAAGAAAAAGTTTGAAATGACAGACTTGGGTTTAATGAATTACCTTTTGGGGATGGAAATTCATTAAGGATGGAAATTCATTAAGGAGTAGATGGAATTTTTATCTCTCAAATGAAGTATGCCAATGATGTTCTTAAGAAGTTCAAGATGCAAAACTGCAAGTCGGTTAGTACACCTCTTGTAGTGAATAAGAAGTTGTTCAAGTTTAATGGTCAGAGGAAAGTTGACACTAAGGAATACAGAATCTTAGTTGGAAGTCTACTTTACCTCACAGCAACCAGATCATATTTGGTGTTTGTAGTAAGTTTGTTTTCAAGGTTTATGATTGAACCAAGTGATGTTCATATGGGTGTTGCAAGGAGAGTGCTCAGGTATTTAAGAGGAACCTCAAATTTTGGAGTTTGTTTAATCCATGTGCAGACTCGAAATTGTTTGCATATTCATATAGTGACTGGGGTAGATCAGTGGATGACATGAAAAACACTCTTGGCTATGTTTTTTCACTTGGATCTGGAGTGATTTCATTGATTTCAAAGAAGCAAGAAATTGTGGCTCAATCCACGCTAAAGCTGAGTACATTGCAGCATGTGCAACAGTGAATCAAGTTATGTGGCTCAGGAAAATATTCACAGACTTAAGAAACAAGCAAGGGGAAGCTACTAAAGTTCTAATTGACAACAAATTAGCAATAGACATTTCAGACAATCCAGTTTGTTTCAGCAAAACAAAGCATATAAAGATTAAGTTCTGTGCACTTCAAGAAGCTCAGCAACACAAAGAAGTGAAGTTGGTCTATTGTCCTTTAGAGTACCAACTAGCTAACATTCTAACTAAGACTTTACCAAAAGGTAGATTTGAGTTCTTAAGGCTCAAACTTGGTATGATGGCCAAAAGCCTTGAGGAGTGTTAGTAAATGAGACCTTTTAGCTTACTCAATAAATTATGTTCATGAATATGTAACTTTAATTAAGAGAATTTGAAGTGTCTAGAGTTGATAGGAGTAGTTGACATGCCAAAAGGTTGTGACCATTTATTGTATCACAATTATTATAAGACATCCCTCACCCCTATATAAAGAACTCTTGTACTCGTCAAATAGATATACAAACACATCAATCAAAATCAGAATTCTCTCTACTTCTACTTCTTTTCTTCTACTTTTCTCCATATTTTCCCTACTTTGCTCCAACAAGGTTCAATGGCTAACGAAAAGATCCATGCATCAATCAGAACTATATCAAGTGATAAAGAAAACAAAAAACAATATCATTGCATCCATCGTAAAGTTTCATGATCTATATTATTACAGTCACGAACACAATTTTGATGCAGCGGCCAAAACCAGGCAACCGAGCTAGTTAGCTATACACACTTATTTCGAAAACAATAAGGCAGCTCTTCCTTGCTGTCTATTTCACTGCAACATCCATTTTGTTCTCTTAAATTGTTTGTGGTTTTTTGTTATCACACGATAGGGAAATCCCACGTTTCGTGATAGATTTCGTAGTCCAAATCCCACTTTTCTGGAAGGATATCGAAGTTCCACAACTCTTGTTGCAGTTGATCATCTTCGCAGCTGGATCCATGAACTAACTTGTTCAGTTTGTTCTTTATTATTTGTGCTTCAACAAATGCTCCAATCTGCCACCAAACATATCAAATTAGATGTCTTGTTTACCTCAGCATGTGATATCAAATTAATTACCTTGGCATGAAGAACGTGGAAAACTGTATTCCCGACGAAGGAGAAGCTGGCGTTTAGTACTTCAGCTCCATGTAGATTCAGTATGCCAATCATATCGTAAAAAACGAACTGGCTGTCTGTTCCGGTCATCAAAACCACCTCCATGGCGGATCCATGTTCGTTAATCTTAAGCTCAGGAGCTTTCAAGCTCACTGTGGTCTCAATTGTGCGTGTATAAGATCTCTTTCTTCCGGTTAATTCCTTTTTTTCCCTGTATTCATTCAACCTCGTCTTCAAGCTCTTTATGTAGTTTACAGCTTCATCTATTTGATCAGGAAGCGACAATGGCTCCTTCAAAACAAAACCAGATTCAAATCAAAACTGGAACGCTTCTAAGATCAAAATTTCAATAAAAGGGAAACAAACCTTGGAATCATGGTGGGGGAGAAGAGAATTGAGCTTGGTGTACAAATTCTTCATGCGGTTTCTCCTGTTCTTCTCGATGACCTTCCTCTCCATCTTAGCTGAAGAGCGACGAGATCTCTTCTTTTCCATTCCCTTGTTGTTGTTGTTGTTGTTGAGAGCCGAATTGTGAGGCAAGAATTCCATTTGAAGTTCCATTGATGAAGATGATTTAAGGGGTGGTTTATATAGAGAAGCTGAAAACAGGTGCTTTAGGTTGGAAAAGCCGGAGCTTCGGTGGATTCCGATTGGCTTATGATCAAGCAAAAGTTGAATATATGACAACACGTAGACGTCGTCACTATATTGCGTCACACTTCAACCTGATAATTAGTGTAAATAGTATACGTTTGAAAGATTTTTAATTATTTAATAATAAATTATAGATATAATACTTGAATTTAAAATTTTTAGAAATAATAAAAATTCGTTTAATTATTAAAATCGCTTAATTCTTGTAGTACGAATGAGTTGAATACCAAACCTGATAAGCTTTTGTTTATTCTTTCTAAGAAAATCAAATTTAAAAAACCTAAATTTCAAACCATCCAAAAACAATTAAATTCAGTGTCTGATAAAAATTATTTAATCCAAATTCGGCCGTTCTACGCACGCATTCTAGTGGTAAAATCTGTGTTGAAGCAAATTAGGTTAAGATTTACATTTTATTACGGTTAAGGTATATACTCAAATTTAGTCAAATGGTTTCTTTAACCTATAAAATTATAAAAGCAAAATATAGTCATAATATGTTTAAATAAACTTATTATCAAAATTAATTGTAATAAAATACAAATAGATTAGTAACTGAAATATATCTATAATAATATCAATACAGTGTACTACGTATTTAGTCATTTAATTATCATTTTAGTTTCGTTTTGGTCACTTAACTATTATTTTTTTAATCAATCGTCTTTACAAAATTAGAGGTGATATTAATGTGTCATTATAAGTAATATCATGTCACTTAACTAAAGTTATATTTTTATTCCGTTTTAATCAATCGTCTTTACAAAATTAGAGGTGATATTAATGTGTCATTATAAGTAATATCATGTCATCACTGGAAAAAAAATCACATCAGTAGTTTTATTTATTTATTAACAATGGATGACCAAATCGAAACTAAAACATAACATTAGATATGATTTTAAAAGAATAAATAATCAAATAATCAAAATAGTAATTGAGTGAATAAATACATTGTTTACCCTATCAATGTATATATATGTAAAAAAAATTCACATGTTGCACTCCGAAGTTTTACCATATGTACATGAAAGCTTCATTGATTAACTTAGTCAAATTAAAACAACATAATTAATATAAGTTCAGCTCCTAACTTTGCAATCAAGCTTGATTTTATCTTTCAAGTCATACTAACATTTCATTTTATAGTAGTGCTATAATATTTCCAACATATATTTTAATGTTACCAATGGGTTTTTTTTTTTTATTCTACACAGCATTTAATTAATTTGGGCTGCTATTATAGTATTCTAGATATCCGATACGAGAATATAATTTTTTTTAATCTAACTGATTTGAATATTTAAATTTTAAATATGATTTAAATAAATTTAACATTTCATTCGGTCATACAAATTGTTAGTGCCGTCTTTTTATATACAAAAAACACGCTTAAACTGTTGTCGAAGATGGACTCTATGAGAGCGAGTGTTTGTTGAATAAGAGCCGTCAACGGAAAAGGCAAATCCGATACATTCCCCTTGCAGGAATTGGGCATCCAATTGGCTGTCAAATTTCAAACACGCAGAGACTTGACTAATTTACTTTTACTACGGGTGTTGTTTGACCATAGGTAGGGGGATGAACTGATAGGAGCGGTAGATACGATCGTTCTCTAAAATTTTTAAATTTTTTATATTTTTATTGATAATATATTTTTATTTTCTAAATATTATTAATTTGTTATCTGTGAAATGGTGTGAGTCTATCCTGATACCTCCGTGATAATACACGAGAAGGAAAGGCCAAGGCAGCTGAGTTTAATATGTCTGTTGGGAAAACACTGTCTGAATTGCGGCTTTATACTCCTGTTCATGCCCCAACAGTTCCTCGTCCCATTCAGCGTTTGACTGAGTCAACTCCACCCATGTTTCAGTTTAAGTTGTTTTTTCTATTTTCGCAGAGCTTTCGTCGTTCACAGTATAAACGGGAGAACACAAACTCCGGCAAGGTGGCTCCTTGGAACTTCTTGGACAATACCATAGAATCCGTACGCAACAGACCAGACTTCGTCGCCTTCTTGTTTCTAGGTTAGATATTTAAGATTGATTTAAATGTCTTAGGTCCTTGTACCATTCTATGATTTAAAATTTATTCTTTATTTTTAAAATTTTGTGACATTAAGTACATTTATTATCTTTATTGTCTTATTATACAAATTTGTACGGAAACTTGATAACGTCTCTTAAAATGGTACATGAACTTTATTTCGTCTCAAAGTGGTACCTGAATATGAAAAATTTTATCCAAATTGATACGTAATGTTGATTTGATATTTTAACAACCAATTACGTTGTGACGTTATAATTTTGATCCGACAATACCTCTTCAGTAATCTGATTGGTTACCAAGTTAACACAAGTAGCAATTTGATAATTTTTCCAAATTCAAATACCAATTTGAGATAAAAATGTTTTGATGTACATTGTATAATAATTTTTTTATTTGAAAATCTCAATCCTTAACTTATGTTCAACTTACAGTTGGATATGGCAACTATAAAAATGATAAAATAACGTTTTACTCCTTATGTATTTAGTTTATTTTATCAATTTGACCCTAAACCTTTAAAAATAAAAAAGGTTATCATGAATTGAACAATAGATTTTTTTATCATCTATATTGATAGTTATTTAAGAATCAAATTAATACAAACTATAATCGTAGAGAATTTAAAAAATTATTTTGCTTTTATTAGAATTGTTATGCCAGTAATTACCAATAAAATTAAACAGAAGTTATTGAAAGATCAAAATTTTTAAATAAAAATAATATATAAACTTAATATTATAACTTCAAATATAAATCTTAAATTTTAAAACTTCAAATAATATAGAGATATTTAATATATTAAAATTTGTAAGAAACAAATGAAACAAGTTAAATGAATTTAATTTAATTTGTATAATATATTTATCAAATATTAATCATGCACTTTTTGATGTGGATTGTTACGGTGGAAGTAGACTCACCATATCCAAAGCTTTCAAGTCAATTATTATTTATCCGATTAACTCAATGATAAACGTTGATTATTGTTACCAATAGATATTGATTGTGTTGTAATGATAATCATTAGTAATTTTAGGTTCGTTTCATTTTCCAATTGCACTTTTTGTTATTTTAAGTTTCAAGGAAACAGGGGGGGCAAGGGGTCTCACTCACATAATGGGTGACCCTAATTTGGGTTAGGGAGAAAGGGATTACGTTGGATCATTTAATTCTAAAAAAAAAGTGTAACATTCTTAATTTTTCGAACCGAAATTTTGTCTAGTTTGATTATCAAAAAATAATTCTGAGATTAAAATATTTATTCAACTTTTAAAATTATTATAGTAAACGGTAGTCCAATCCATGATTAATTACAAAATGTAAAATGATAATTGACAGTATAATGAGTAAATTGAAAAACAAATGGTAAAAATTAGATATTTACATGATAAATATATCAATAGTTGATCCATGAATTAAGCTACCTCAACGGTTACAGGAATTGTCAAATGGTAGAGAATCTGTAGAACATATAATACTATATAATCACTCTAAATTAATATATATATATATATATATATATATTTGTATAATTTAAAATTAGTAAACTAAGTGTTTAATAGAAAAACACTAAATGCCCTTACTTTGGGTAGAAAACGGATTGGTAGGAGAGGAAAAGACTTCCTTCCATCTTCTTCAAACTTTTTTAAATTATATATGGAAGAATTCTTATAAAGCATAGAGTGAGAAAGTGTTAATTCATCTAAAACTTATTATTGAAAGTTCAAATTAAACTTAGAATTCTAAATCCACGCTTTATTTTTTTTCCAACCGTCACCGTTAATCTAAAGTTTCAATGTTGGCAAGTGAAACTTTAAACTCTAAATTAAGATTAAAGTTCGTGCATGATGATATTTATCTTTGATTATGATATTGTTGTCAAATTGTTGATGAAATGTGTATGTGTTATTTGAAGTTCAAGAATGTAAAGTTGGAACAACCAAATCAAGGGAGAAAGCAAAGATTATTAAATAAATCGGTGCTCCAAGGTATATTTTAAGCTCATATTAGGTGAGCGTAATTGATATAGAATCTAATTTTGTATGTATATTTATTGTGGTATATGATTAAAATGCTTAAAAACTCATTATCGACTATAAACCGAGCAAATGGATAGTTGGTATCTTGAAGAACTATGTCTATGTATGTTTCGATATGAAAATTTGATAATTGGATATGTCCCAGCATGTTAGTATCTATGATTGATATGAGAAATATGATATCTTTGTGGAATTAATCTAATTCTCATGTTTGATATATGAATTGAGCTAAAATGTTGGTTGATAGTGATAATAAGGTGTGGATAATCAGATTAAGTAAATGGTAAGTTTTCAATACATTGAAAATGATATGAATTGATCCCTTTGTTATTCGATTAGTTTCGGGTATAACTGACATACCATAAGGTTTATAATGCTTGTGAAGGAGTTATATTAAAGATTTTGGTCTTGGTGAAGTAGGGAGATGTTTATTAGGACTGTTGAAATGACTACATCGATGTTGGCGTAGATGACCAGTGACTGGAATGGAGAAGGTGAAGTGGAGGAGAGGAGAGTGAAAAGTGAATGCGTTTCATATATCTGATAACTAGGGTTTTAGTGTTTTTGCAGATATTGGAAACAAAGCTTGAAAATGTATATTATTAGAATCGAACTTTTAACGACAAATGAATTACAGAAAATGCTTGTCTTTAGTCCAAAGCATCAGTACGCTTACATTGCCAATTACCAGTGATGAAATTCGTCTGACTAGGGGGAATGAGACGAGGAAGGATATGTTGGAGTCGCCGGACTACAACTTTTGTGATTAACCTATTATTATTATTATTATTATTATTATTATTATTATTATTATTATTATTATTATTATTATTATTATTATTATTATTATTATTATTATTATTATTATTATTATTATTATTATTATTATTATTATTATTATTATTATTATTATTCGTTGTAGTGGTACGCACTTTTTGATGTGGAATGTGATGGTGGAAGTGGACTCGCAATATTCAAAGCATTTAAGTCAATAGTAGTTTACCCGATTTACTCCATATGATAAACGTTGATTATTGTCACCCATAGATACTAACTGTTCTATAATAATATAATAATAATGATTCTAACTTTTAGGTCCATTTCACTTCTTTTTTTTATCATTATAGCATCTAATTGCTTTAACCTTATCTGCTTTTTACGCATGTGAAACTGTCATAATTAATTCAAGGCTTTGGTGTGTGATAAGCTTCAAACTTTAGAAAAAAAATAATTAAATCCCTAAAAAAAATATTCTAGTTAAATTTATATATTTCAAAACTTTATTAATTTACTAAACAACCAGTTTGTCTAATGAGATGAGACATTTGATTTCTTAAGCAAGGTCAGGGGTTCAAACCCTGACATTTATAAATGGAACAAATTGGGTTGGAAAGGTCGCCCCTATCTCTGCAGTATCCGATCTGGATTAGTCGGTCAATAGATAGGATACCAATGATTAATTCAAAAAAATTATTAATTTATTATTTTGATTAAATCCACTGTTAAATTTTATATTTCTTTTTAGATGTACGTCACATTATGATATTATCAAGTGATATTTTTATAAATTTACTGATTTTAATATATTTTTATTTTCGTTAAGAATTATTTTAGAATTTTAATAATTTTCTTTAGAATTTTCATTCTGTTAATTCATGTGATGAAACTGGAGTGTGTCACGTGATAATGTTATCTTCAAAAATGATTTTGATTCAATTTCTTATATCAATAACTTAATTAATTTAATTTCTCGATCTAAGGATATAATTGAATACAAAAATGTTTAGGGACTTAATCAACCCAATCTTTTTGTGACAATCGATCATTGCCATATGCGAGGATAATCAATCCTAATTCAAATAAATATTAGATTTCACAAATTAAGAATTTGTAAATAAAATAAATATTTTTATTTTGAAATATCACATGATAATACAACCACGCAACGCATAATGTCAATTGATCCAAATAAGCATTAGATTTAATGGCTAGCGTTGGTCAAGTGAATGAAATGATAATATTTCAGGGTACAAAACTTAACTTGATGTAAAAATATCAAGTGGTTAAGTACTTCTTGCACTCGTATTATTTGTTAATACTTTTAATATAATTTTAGAATATTTATAAATATAGGGTAAATAGCAAATGGTTCTCCGAACGTGTTGTTTTGTTGAGTCTTTCAAATAGTAAAAGTTATAAAATGGTCACAGATTATAAGAAATCGTTTTGTTGAGTCCTCCGACTATAAAAAGTTATAAAATAATCACATGACTATTCATGTGTTCTAAACTCATCCTATTTTATTTAAAAACTAGCGGTCATATAAGCTTGACGTTAATCTGTTGACTAGGATATGATAAAATTTGATCCTACAAACGTTTGAGTTGTATTTTGTGTATCGACTCTTCATTTATATTATATCGTCGAATCAATGCTTCAAATATTATGCAGTCGAGCCAGTGATTGAAAGCAATGGTAGTATCAGTAGACATCATTAAAATATGATTTTATCAGTAGGTTAACGTCCAGCTCATACGGCCGTAAATTTTTTAATGGAAAATGATGAGTTTGGAACATATCAATAATATGGTGACCATTTCTTAACTTTTAATAGTTTGGAGACTCAACAAAGTAATATCCTATAATAGGGACTATTTTGTAACTTTTAATAGTCAATAGAACAAATCAGTGCCTTATAGTCAAGGAATTATTTGTATAATTTATCTATATATTTTCTTAAATTTATTTATATTTTAAATATTATTATAAAATAAAATTAATTATTAGTCCCCGTTCAGTTACAATTTAGGATTTTTCAACAAATGAAGGAATCGTGCATAGCATATACTTTGGTTTCGGGTAATGGGCCTTTGACACATTCAGAAGAAATGGTGAACCGGCCTAAAAAAAGGCCGGAAAATTAAAATGAAAACCTGCACCAGCCGGGAATGAACCCGGGTCTGTACCGTGGCAGGGTACTATTCTACCACTAGACCACTGGTGCTCGCTGATGCTTAAACCAGAATTTATTTTACTTATAAATTTTAGACTCTTAACTGCAGAGGCAGAACAAATAGAAAATATAATCATGAATAGTAAGCTAACTAGCTCTCTATGTGCTAACAAAAATCATATGTTTCCATTTGACTATTAGAACATTCCAAAGCTTACAAATTGCTTGAGCATGTTCTAAATAATTGACAGTTTCCCACTTCCCATAAGAAAGGAAAGCAAGTTTGCAAAGCAATGATATCAAAATCTAATTCACCGATGTTATCGTCCTTCTCTGATGACATCCGAGTAACTCATCGACATGGACGAAGAAATGTTCCTCTGAATGTCATTGAATGTAGGATGTCCTCTGCTGCTCAAGCTCTCCCATATTGTTGTTGCAGTTCTCATTCTCTGTAGTAGATTCAACTCCGTGCCTTCTCCTTCCGATTCGGCACCTTCATCTCTTACCTCTAACAGCTTCATTACTTGCCTCATCGTTGGCCTAACATGAGCTTCCGGATGAGCACACAACAATCCCAGTTGCAGTAACCTCTCTACTTCCTCGTTACTGTGACGACCTTTTCCTTTTAACCGATCGTCGAGAGCCGAAACCAGTTCTTGTCTCTCCATTAACATCCATGTCCAGTCAATTAAACCCGGTTTCCCTTCTTCAATCGGTCGTCGTCCGCATATTATCTCGAGAATCAACACCCCGAAACAGAACACGTCTGTTTGAGTGGAGGCACGTCCTGTTTTAATCAATTCCGGAGCCATGTATCCTACGGTGCCAACCACTCGTGTAGTGCTAGCCGATTCGTAATGGTGATGAGTACGCGCTAATCCGAAATCACCTAGTCTGGCGTTCATATCCCTGTCAAGTAAGACATTGCTTGCCTTGATGTCCCTATGCAAGACCTTAGCTTCCCAACCCTCATGTAAATACCAGATAGCAGAAGCTACATCTTTCAAGACTTTAACCCTCTCATCCCAACTCAACATAGCGTCCTCGTCGCAGTCAAAAATTCTCTTATCGACGCTCCCATTCTCCATGTAATCGTAGACCAATATCGAGCTCCGTTTATCGTTCCTACACCAACCTCTCAGTCCCACCAAATTCCTATGCTTCAATCTCCCTAAACTAGAAACCTCAGCCAAAAACTCTCTCATCCCATGCTCACTTTCATGAGAAATTTTCTTCACTGCGATTTCAAGTCCTCCTCTGAGCACTCCTTTATAGACATTCCCATTACCTCCAGAACCAATCACATTTTCATCTGAAAATGCCTTTGTTGCTGCAAAGATCTCTTGATAGCCAATCCTGTGAGGCCAATACTCCAATTCCCAATCTTCAACATCATCATCTCCCTTACCAGTTCTTTTCCTTCTTTGTCTAAAGTAAGCAAAATACATCACAATCCAAAAGCTGATTACAAGTAGGACAACCCCAATGGTGACTCCAACTATGAACCCTATTGACTGAAACACTGAATCCTTTGGTGGAAGAAATGAAGGCAAATTAGCGGTGATTAAAGCATCACCAATTGAAAAATTCGAATTACTAAAGCTCCAAGCCAGAATCCTATGACTCTCCACCAATTGCCCTGTTGATCCAGCAAATCCCACATGCATTTCATCAAGGAAAACACCAGAAAGGTTCACAAAAGCACTTATCAATGGCCTCCTAGGCCTTATATCCCCCACTTTAGCCAAGGAAACATTTATAATAGAATCATGATAATCAATCCAAACTTGATAATTCACACCATTATTAAGCTTCAACCCCTTCAACTTATCATCTTTACTCCCTCCCCAAAACCCAGCAGGACTGGAAGCAACTGATTTCAGGGAGTTCAGATCAACACCCACATGATTGTCGTTGATATCATCGAATTCTTGGTTCGCAAACACATCGAACTCAACACCAAAGATGCTGCTATTGGGATCACCATTGTTGGTGAAGTTAAAAAGACCCAGATTCTGAGCTGAGCTGGCACCGGATATACCAGCAGAAGGCAGGAAAGCAAAGGCAAATCCATGACCTGGGAGAAACCCTTTGAGAGGGGAGATGGCGAAGATGAAAGATGTGGAGAAAGGAAGTACCTTTGATGAATTCGATGACTTTACAGGGATCTTCAAAGGGTACAAGGCACGACCAATGGAGAAAGTTGCGTTTGTGAGGGAGAGAATTGAAGAAGAATCAATGGTGGCATCGCCGAAAGTGAAGAGATTTGTGGAGTTGAAGTCGGTGTTGTAAACGAAATCAAGAGATGAAACTACCGAAGAGAACAAAAGGAGGGTTATAATTGCAGTTGAAAACAACAGATGAGACATGAGAAACCATAAACAGAGATCACAGACGATGAAAGCTTGGGTTGCATGTCAAAAAGGTGTATGCTTTTTAAGCTTTTAGCATTAGTTCAAGACAGCTGTGGTATATACCAACTATCGCGAGCTACTCGATATCGATTCGATCAATGTTTAATAAATATTCAGATCGAATGGACTCGACTCGAGTTCTTAACGAGCCGAAATGAGCAATTCGATATTCGACTCGAAAAGCTCGTGAGCAGCTCGAAAATGTTATATTATAATTTTAGATTTTTTAAAATTACATTATAAAAAAATTATTAAAAATACATTATTGATAATTATGAAATTTTAAAAATATATTAAAAATTCTATAATAAAACTACCCTCAATTTTTAATTTTTTTTAATTGAACAACTCAAGTCTAATTATTACATTGTATATTATTAAAAGAAAACAAAAGCCCATTTAATTAATCACATGTTAGATTACACCCTAAATTCAAACCATAAACTCTAATCTCTTAATCCGATTATATGATAGGGTACTAAAAGAAAAATAAAAACTCATTTAATTAGTCACATGTTATATTACACCCTAAACCCTAAATCCTAAATTATAAACTATAAACCATAAACCCTAAATCTCAAACCCTAAACTATAAACTATAAACCATAAACCCTAAATCCTTAACTTGATTATGTGATAGGGATTAAATTATACACATGAAGTTGACATACAAATTATGAAAAATGAAATTAATGAAATTAACAAGGGTTTATATGTAAATAAACTAATAAATCACACTTGGTCAAATCAATCAATAGGTCCATTATAAAAAAACGGTGATCAAAACATAAAATAAAATAAATTAACAACCCAAATCAAAAAAACATAAACCTTGATTAATGACGAAATCAAAAGATTACAAATATAACAGATCCTAAAATGCTAATATTCCATTTCTAAAGCACGGGCTTGAATACCTGTCCACTGTCCACGTTTCTTTGGTTTTCTTTCTCTTTTCAACTCTCTGTTTTGTGTATCCTACATTGAATTGAAATTAAAACGAAATTCATAATTTAATGATGTATGCTGTAATTTAATTTGTAAGTAGTACATTTAATTGTCAAAAATATATTCGAAAATTCATTTTGTTTCCAACAAAAATTAGAAATTTTAATTTTTTTACCGGGTGAAAAAATGTACAGCACTTTATGGTTTACTTCAATCATGATGGCATACTTCCATTTTTGAATATAAATATGGCTAAATTGCACGAGCATTCATGTGGAGGTGGAATTGGCTTACTTCAATCATGATGGCATACTTCCATTTGTAATTAGAAACCTTAACAAGATGTTAGACAATTTGGCTTTAAATCAGTAACCTCTCCACTTCGAAATCGACATCGAATGACCTCTTTACAGGTTATAGGGGGATTTCTGCATACAATCACTAGCAGAGAAGAAACTTCTCGAGGTTCTAAAGAAGAGCAGAAAAGTTGTTGCTTGCTATATAGAATGGATGAGGTTGTGCATTCATTAGAGTAAATAGTTTCTGTGATCTAATAATATAGTTTCTTTGCACTTCATAATCATAACTAGTGTATCTTAGTCAATCGGAACATTTGTATAAAAAGGATATCGGCGAAAAGGAACATACAAGGAAGGAGAAGTGAAAACGATCAAACTATGAATTTAGGTAAGTGCCTCATCTCCAGCAACAATCTCCAGAATCTCACTTGTAACTTTTGCCTGCCTTTCCCGATTATAGACAATGGAAAGATTCTTCTTCAACTCAATCGCATTATCAGTAGCATTACTCATTGCATTCATCCTAGCTGCTAGCTCACTCGCCAGTCGCCAATGATTCCTGCAATGCCCTCAAGATCTGACTATTCAAATAAAGAGGCATCATGGCATCGAGAATTTGAACCGGATCTTGCTCAAACTGCATAAGAGGAGAAATTATCCCTCCTTCCACCCTCACTTTATCCCTCTCCACAACCAGCTTCCCTCCCTTGGTTGTCAGCATAAACAACTCATCTTCCATGCCATCAACACAATTCCCATTCACGTCGACAACCTCACCTTTCACCGACAACGGAAGCAAAGTACGAATCACCGGATTCGACTTCACCAAAGATACAAACTTCGTATACACAAGCTCAACCTTATCGACCTCTTCACTTATAAACAACGAGAAAACATCATCAGCAATCATTTGAGCTTCTTTTGCAGTAGGAAACCCTCCTCCTTCAACAAATCTATCAACCAAAACATCATCTTTCCGCCTAAAATAAGAATTGCCCTTTTTTCCTAAACTAATAACAGTATAATCCAATCCAAGACCTTTCAATTCAGAAACCCGGGACTCCGCCTTTTTAATCACTGCATTGTTGAAACTACCACAAAGACCTCTATCGCCAGTTATAACAACTAAAGCTACTTTCTTTACAGGCCTAATAACAGTTAAAGGACAATCAACATCTTCACATTGTAAACTATCATTAATGGTGTAAAGGAACTCCACTAAACCTTCGGTGAAAGGCCTGCCATTGATGACAGCTTCTTGAGCTCTCCTGATCCTTGCAGCCGCCACTAGCATCATTGCTTCAGTGAATTTTTGAGTGCTTTTCACCGTTTCGATTCGTTTTCGGAGCTCACGAAGGCGGCAATGGATCTGAGTGAAGGGTGAAGGAGATCGAGAGATGCTTTTTGGGGTTAATCTATTGGAAAATTGGAGAAATGGGTTTTGGTTAAATTGATAAAAGAACTGATTTTTGGTGGAATTTGAAGGTTTTGACGAGACCCAAGTCGGTAGATTTGACGAATACATTGTTTACAGAGAAGGTTTTTGCTGGGTTTTGGGTTTAAGATTACAAAAGTAAGTTTCCCTTGTGATGAGAAATGTTGTAAGAAAATTTTAAAATAATATTTAATTGGGAATTAAGGTTTTAATTGAGTAATTGGTGAAAATTTGGGGACTAAATTAGAAGTTTTTAAAACTTGAAGCTTGTTTAAGAGTTAAAGAAAATTAAGGGACCAAGCCCTGAATTTACCCTAAAATATTAGGTAAGGGCTGTTATATACGTGAATTGGTTTCTGATTTCAGAAACCAATTCTTCCCAAATTCCCTCTCCCAACCTCAACTTCCGACGACGATCCCGACGCCGTCCGAATTCCGATCGTCATTTAAAAACCACCATCGTGTTCATCATCGAGCGAGGAACAAACCCTTCAATTTAATTGAAGCGAAACGCTGCCAAACGCCGTGAATTTCAAGTCAAAGCATCGACGTTTTTTTAGCTCAATCGCCTAGAAAAATCCTAAATTCATCGCCGATCGTTGCTCCGTTTACGACACCTCCCGCACCATCGTGTTCCTTGTGCCGTTCCGAGTCCGCCGGTGTCATCGTCGACCTCCGTTGACGGCGGCGCTTGAGGAGGTGGATCAGTCAAAGATTCGGCCGAGTCAAAATCGAGCTCTCCGCAGTTCAAAAATTTGAACCGATCTTTGTAAGTATCTCGAAATCGCTCAAAATAATTTTTAGAAATTTTTCCGTGATTTTTAGAGCCCCGGAGGACGTCGCACGCGCCCCACGCGCCGCCGCAGGCGAGTGAACGCTGAAAACCGGTTTTGACCGGTTTAACAGGTTTTGAACCGGTTTTGACCGGTTTGACCGGTCACGACCCGTTTACCCGACCCGACCAGTTTACCCGACCCGACCCGTTTACCCGACCCGTTGACCGTTAACCGTTGACCGGTGCTATTCTGAGAATTAATTCGGTTTTGGTGCTATTCTGGGAATTAATTCGAAATGGGTGCTATTATAGTAATTTTTCGAAACAAAATGATATTTTGGGAATTAATTAGAAAATGGTGCTAGTTGTGTAAAATGTTTGACAGTTTGTTGACCTCCTTTGACCAGAACTTTGACTGACTTTGACCGGCTATTAAACGACCTTTGTTTTCGACCTAGAATACCTATCCTGATAGTGTTCGACGTCCCGAATCCGTTTTTGGGGTCCGTTTTGCTAAATTCAAACCCGAAAGTCTCCAAATCATCAGTCAAAACCGTTTACTTTAATTTTGACCAAGAATTCGAATTTTCAGATGGTCATACTTTATGTTTTTCGACGTCCTGAATTTGATTCCGAAGTCCGTTTTTCCAAATTCTGACCCGAAATTCCCGAATCGAGCTTGTAAACCCAAAAGGCTTAATATTTTAATATTTTGATTATTTAAATGAGATTTGGTCAAGGATATTTTTCAATAAAATATTTTATGAAGGTACTCGTGTTTCACCTGAGCAAGGATCAATTAGGTCCGGTATTATCCGTTCGTTAGATCAGCCTGAATCGCGTACTACGAGAATTACCCGTAGGTTTCCGTATATTATTTAAATAATATTTAGATTATTTATATTAGGATTCCAATGTTGATTTTTCCAATTCGTAGGGTCTAGTGCTGCAGCAGAACGTGATCGACATACCCAGTAATAGGCTTCCCTATCTGATTTCCCAGACTGTTACAGGTGTGTTTCCTAACAGTATTATATTACTGATTTAAATAATTTATCTGAATACCGAGTATTTGATATTTGATTTGCTGTATATTCTGATATAATTTCTGAATTAAGGTATTTCATACCGATTTCTGAGATCTGCTTATCTGATATCTGAATTATTGATTTGAATTCTGATTTCCGTATTTCTGCATATGGTTTCTAAGTATGAAATATTTGTTATGTTTTAAGTGATTAATCATTGTTTTCAATTGAATACATTCATTGTCATTTGGGGGGTATTGTTGAAGGAAGATTATCTGCAGACTTCTCGGCTTTGTGCTCAGGGTCTAAATGGCATGTGCGGTTGGGTGTATGGTTCTGGGGAACCTACACAATTATGATGTGAACGGATGGGGGTAGTGTTCATGTTTTAAAAATAAAAATAAAAACATATTGCATAAACCGATTTCATTGAAAGATTTTATCTGTATATTTTTCTTATATACTGTATGGAGCAC